AGAAAGCTTCTGTTTCCAAGGGTACATTTTTATAACTAAGATTAACTAAACTTTTCAAATGGGCAAAATGGGAAGTCCTGTTTCTCTCCAGTTGAATGTTTTGGTGCACACAGCTTGTTTATGTAGTAGTAGTTCCATGCCTTTAGAAAAAGGAGGAGAAACAGGAGAACAGGAAACTCTGACACTTGCCAGCAGATTACCCTCCCACACTTAACCTGGAAAGGAACTATTTCTCCTCGGGTAATATATTATGTTTAAGATGATGTCTTGGTGTTTTTCTACAGAAGCAAATTTGAAGATATATAGTGCACTGATGTACCAAAAAATTATACTTTTTACAAAAGCATGGGAAGTAACCTTTTAGATATTTTCTAGTTAAAAGGTGCTTTTGGAGAGAGGAACAAAAATATATTAGATTTGCTGTTGATTTTTAGATATTTTTTCCTCCTCCAGTCCGAAGCAAATAAAAAGGGCTTGTTCACTGCTCCCTTTCAGATGAAAGGACTAATTTCACTCAAGAAGGTGATGCTGGAAATGCAATAGGTTGCTGCTGTCTTCAAGCCAGAAAATATCATCTATAAAGAGAAGGTGCATGTTTTCCTTTCTTACGTGGCATTAAGTAGTGAGTCAGCATAGCTACAGAAATCGGTGTTGTCTTTCTTTCCCCTTGACATCCAAACACTATTCTGTCCTCACAGGGAGGTTGCAAGGAGACAGATGGTAATTAACTAAGAACTGGCAGATGTTGGCATGAGGCTTAACATCCTGCACCCCCCTTACCCCCCGCCTTTTCCCAGGTCTTCCTGAGCACTGAGTAAAGGGTCAACATGACCATCCCTTCACCATGACATAAAGGCTCCAAACATACACTTGGATAAGCTGTTTCTCTCTCTTCCTTTCCTTTCTCCCTTTCATGAGATCCATAGTGGTGATGTGTTTGAAATGAGGCCGGTTGTGTTGTAGGACAGTCTTCCACTACTTAATTGATAATGGTGGCCAAGAAAATTCATGTTTGAATGTGTGCTTAAACACTGAGAAACAAAAACTACTACCATAACTGCTTTTACACAGTATTCCTGGTATTTTTGTGTCAAATGAGTTGTTACAAGCAAAGCACTATAAAAGGAAGATAGTTCTGCTGACTTTTCTTACATTATCTTCCCAGAGAAATAAAAGGTCTGAATGATAATTTAAAAAAAGCCTTCATAGAGAATATAGACAGTTGTTTGAATTATTTGTAGCAATAACTATTCAGACAATCATCCAAATATTTTCAGGCATTTCATTTTCAGCTACAAGTAAAAAATCCAGGTGGGATTCTAGGGAATGAAGCAACACAGAAAAATCACTGTTCTGTTATTGAAAATCTAACTTTTACTCAAATGAAGGTAGATGGCCTTAAAATAAGGGATTGCATTTTGGGCTGAAGAGTTCTGTTGAATTATTGCCTCTGTCAAAAGTTAGGTGTGTAAACTTGGCTATATCACTTTTTTTTTTTTTTCCTTTATTTTTGTTACCTAACCAGGGACCATAGAAAAAAAAAAAAATTCTGAAAACTCAAACATGATAGTAACGTATGAGTACCAAACAGAAATATTGTAACAGCAACTTTTAAAATCACTTCTGATTCAATGATGATTTTTCTGGATCGGACAAAAAAATATTAATGAACAGTTGATTTTTTTCAGTGACCCCAAGCTTGCTTGAACTGTTTCATCTCAATATCTGGAAATGGAAACAATTACATGACTGAGACAAGTCACAGGGATACATGGAAACTGGGGAGAGGATCACCTTCCTTGACCCCAGTATTTCCCACAACAGAGCTTGTCTCCCAGTTGTCTGTATCAGGCACACTCCTGTCTTGTAGTCCGCCAAGGAACATGAGAAAGGCCAGTGTGTGGAAGGAGAAGTAAAATTGTGAGTGGGAAGTATTAAAGATCTCATAACTGTAGTAAATAGTGCATGGGCAGTGCAAGAGGTACAGAAGTACAGAAATTCATCTCTTAACAGTGAAGGACACCAGTAGGTTGCTGGGGAAGCCAAACTGATGAGATGCAATGGATGGTTGAAAGGAAGTATCACTCAGATATCTGCTATGGAAGATCTAAAAGGACAAATCAAGGAGAAAAAGGAGTCAATGATCTTCTACTAGGAGTTAAAATTAGTTCACTTCAGGAACATGCAAAGTTCCTGTGATAGAGTTTTCCATCTAGTATGGAGAGCAGCACTGGACACCACAGCACAGGGTCACAGAGTGGAAGGGAGGGTCTGAGCATCATACACAGATGAACTTTGTAGCAAGGAAGAAATGGAAAACGGCAAGTAGGGGGCGGCTATCATGTGGTTCTGGTTTGGACGACAAACATCCCTTGTGCTGGGTTGAGTAATTCCTGCGCAGGACTATCAGCTTTTGATCAAGTGGTTCTTTTGAACTGGGGATTGGAAAGCATACTTTATAGAGTTCCAACTTGGGTTGCTCAAAGATTTCAACATAACAGTGTAGACTTGGTTCTGATTTCAGGAGAAGCAACAGTTTGAGACAGTTCTTTGGGTAGAGTTTACAGTTGGCTTAATTCAGCACATAGTGAGGATGGCTGTTTTTGTAGCATGGTCGAGTGTTACAACAGAAATAAGTTGTTGCTGAATTCTCCTGTCTCCCTACTCCTTTTCCTCCCAGCTCAGTTCAAAGAAGTAAAGGTAATTCACAAGCGGTCGCTTCCCCACAGCTACCAGCAACCCCCGGGTTGTGAACCGATCAGCTGGAAGACTGAGCTACCTTCATCATAACGTGGGGACAGAACATTATGGAAAAAGCAATGTAGCTGCTTCCTGTATTGTACCAGTGCATAAGACTTCACTTTTCAGAGCTGTCAGTCTGTCATTTTCATGAACCCTACTACACGCAGTGAATTCTTTTCTCCCCTCAGACAAAGACTATACAGTTAAATTCATATGTTTTCTGACTTAAACATTTTCTTATCTTTTCTTGTCAAAAAAAGAAAATCTCCTATGATTTTCTTTTTGAACTCACATTTTACAGAATTTGGAAGGGAACATAGTTGCTCATACCAGGTTTGTTTCTCAGCCAGTGAGGTGACATTTAAACTCGTCTTAAAAAGAAAAGAAAGAAAGGAAAAAAGTGTCAGACTCAGTGCAATTATCTTCTTGTTCCATCTATGCACCTTTCCCCTCCATTTACATGGACTCATCTTCTCTGGATTGCTAAGCCAGCTCCAGAGCCTGCTGGTGGAGAGTGCTGTTCTGTAAGATAACATAAGGGCACCTGAGTTAGAAAGCTGCCCCCTGAAACTGTGCTGGAAGTCACCATCCCAGGTGTCTGTTATCAAACTGCAAATTCTTATCTTAAATATGGGCAGTTTGCTGATCTCCTGGGGCACTTTGATGCAATAGTCCCTGCCAATCAGCGCAGGAAAAACTGAGTGTATCAGTCTTGCTACAGTTAAGCATTTAGGATTTCTTCTAAGATATTCTTTGTGTATCTTAGTTTTATTTTTATCATTAATGTAGAAACTCCTATTCAGAACATGAATTTCTTCAGTGCAGCTCCTTCTAGCATGTTGTCTTACACTCCAGTGTAAGCATCCTCAATTCATTATGCTTTATCACTTTTTAGGTAAAGAGTATTTGCACTGATAGAGCTTTTTTAACTGAGACTTGATTTTCAATCTTTATTTTCATCTGTCCATATGTGACAGAGCTGTTTATATCAACAGAAAGCATGTAATAAGCTAAAGCTGAAATAATTGCTAATTGCTCTACCAAGAGATGCCACAAACTATGTGTTTTGCCAGGTCTGTAGTATTTTCAGGTCAAAAATAAAATTGTTTACTTGTTTAAAAAGAAAGAAAAACTTTACATTTTTGACATGTGGCTTGTCCTGATTGGCATTTAAACTAGCAGTGCAAATGCTGTGGGTCATATATCTTAAAATTGAGACAAAATAAAAAGTAAGCCTGTATATTTATGACGGTGCGTAGTATTTCAACTTTTAAAGGGGGCATGTGTATTTGGTGGTGATACCACTGGCAGAGTTCTGTTACTAATGATATTAAAATAGAGAAAATAGATGGTCTTTTGGTGGAAGTACAGGATTAAGAATCTACTTTTAACTGAGCCAGGGGCCAGTTCTTACAGGACAGACATTTGATATATGCATTATTATACACAGGTTATCGATCTTTCTTGAAAAGACAGCTGTGACCAAGTTAGTTTATGTAGCATTTAGCTCAACTTACAAAATCAAATAATAGGTTACAGTAAGGTGGAAGCCAGCATGAAATCAAACCAAAGATTTTCAGGACAACTTTCTGTCAATATATGGACACTTAAGTTTATAGATAGGGACCCACTGAGTGTTTCAAAATTATTATATAGACAGTTGAGACATCTAAATCTGACTGAAATGTGTAGAACCGAGGTTCTTGTCCTGCTACTTGCTTTTGAAAGGCCTCCTGGGTTCTGTGTATTGGACTCACTACTGTGGAAATCCATTTCTTAGTCACATTTCTGTTACCTCTTTCCCAGAACAGAGATGCTGGAAGAGGATCCTCCAGGGGTATGAGGGTGGATGTTCTCATGAGCAGAGGAATGGTTGTCCTGAGAGACTTCCCAAGAAAGCATTGGCAGATCTACTGGCTGTGGTAGGGCCCTAGGGATGTAAAAAAAGGCAAATTGCAGAGGGGAGGGAAGGCTATATTGAGATTAGAGAACTCAGAAAAACCTCTGTAATTCCAGACCACCCAGCCAGCAAATGGGCTCCTTGATCCCACTTGTCATTTACAGTCTATGTCTATGTTGTTGTGCAGGGGTCTGTCATAATTTCAAATGCAGTGATGGGCCTGTAAGTAGTTGGCCCAGGTTTGAAGAGGCTTGCTCTTTTTCCTCTTTCAGAAAAGATTAAAATCACTTTGTATCCTGTTTTCATTTTGTTTTTCCGTGGAACACTTTGTCTAAGAAACTTTCTTCTTTTCTTGCAGTCCTCATTCCATCCCAGATCGCCTGCGCATCAGAGTGAACAGGATTAATTTACAGGAATATGAGGGGCTACATTACGACAAGGAAAAACTCCGGGAAGCTTGTAAGTTGGAAGAAGTCAGGTTGTAGCTGCTTTTGATATATTCTGTATAAATCTTGCATTACAAAAAACTCAACCCCAAAGCAACAACAAAAAAAGACCCCAAACACAGGGTCAAGCATACATTTTTGGATGAGTCACATAGAGTGTATATTCATCTGTCTGTATATATGCATGCACGTATTCTCTCTGCATAAATACTCTCTCTATAAAAAGAATATATAGAGAATTCATCTGTTTCCTTACTTAACTATGCCTTCTGCAAGTTGATTTTATTTACTGTAAAATAAGTATTATCAACCCTGGGGTTTTTTTATTCATGTATTTCTGTTGGTGCTACTGGGTTTCTAGTAGTGCATGAAACTATTCAAGACTTTATGATTAGCATCAAATTTGAAACCGAGTTGGGGGGCTACCATGATTAATTGCATATTGAGAATATGCTCTGACCTTGAATGTGGTTCTTGCAAAGGTGCTTTTATCTTGGGAAACAAATCTGGCTTCCCCAGTCCCCCTTATACTTTAACAGCCTTCAGTTTTCCACAGAAGAGAATAATCACTGTTTTGTTTCCTCATGTAATGGTTTAATTGCCACATTCAGGGGTAAGTCAAAAGCAGACAGCCGGTTGCTTTGGCAACATTGATGATGATGATCCATACTTAAAAATGGAGTTTCTTTCCTTGGTGACACACAGTCGTTAATCAATGAGAGACATGGCTGCTTGTGATAACAATTTAATAGTCTTGTTCATGCATCTGGCTCATTATTCATATTAAATTACAAGCACGACCGTTTGTTGTGCAACAAAGCTTCAGCTCCCTCTGTAATAAAGAACTGTCTGGTAATTACAGGATGACAATCCTTTTAATTGGTTTGCTTATCTTACTGTTGGAAGATAGTTAAACTGTTTCACTTTCATTCCTCTAGTCCCACCCTTCCTTATTCTCCCAGTTCACCAGCTCTGCTTCCAGCAAAAGAGTTGAAATGGCTTAAATTTTACTGTAGGTCCTGACAGCCTTTTCTGAAGTTTCTGTTAGTGGATTTTGGTTATAATTAAAGCAATCAAAGCCTTCATCATTGAACTGAGAAGAATTTTAACAGGATGAGAATTATGGCTCACTAGAGAGGAGTTTGCTTCAAGTTTAGATTGAGAGTTTGACCTTAAGTAGACTTCAAGCTATATTGAACCCACATCTATCCAACTTTCTCAGAAACAATCTGGTTCATTTGATAGTTCATCATGTGGTTTCCCATCCAAGGAGAACTGTCCTCATCCACTCTCGCTATGGATGTAAATTTTGTTTGTGTATATTTAATATATATTATGTAGTCCTTAAGAGCCATTTACATGTTCTGACACAAAATATACAACTTTTTACACTGTTGTCACTGCAGTTGTAAATGAGTACTTACGGTTTTTGTCACCTGCAAAAAAACATAATGATAACATTATAAAAAATGCCAGAGAATGATCTAGAACCTTTGAGATTTGGTTTTAGATTACACATGCATTTGATCACTTGCTGGATGTGTGCGTAAGAGGTTTTCATTTAAAAAGTAGATGTTTGTCTACCAAAAGTTAAAATGATTGCTTTCAGGCATTGGCAGGCTATTTAAAGTAAGACCATTTGTCTCTTTATCAAGTTGCTGCATGGTCAGCTTAATAGCATAACATAGCTGGACTGGAGCATCCTTCCCAGATGTGTTTCATGAAGTTGTTTTTCCTACCTGTCCTCCTTTAGCTGTCTCACTAATGCTTGTGCATTTACTGTTTCATTAAAATAAGAGAAAGCAAATAATATCCCCATCAACCTAAAATAAATCGGAAAAGATATCTCACCTTACCCTTTGCAGTGATTAGGAATGTCCTGTGTAAGAAAATGTAATTTATGGCATACACTGATGATCATCAACCTACATCTCTGGACATATAGCTTAAGTGTCTCCTATCAGAATTGTCCAACCTTTAGTTTTCAGGATGCTGAGCTTTATTTGAGGACTTCTGGGTGATGCTAATTGTGACTAAAGGAAATTATGTACAGGAAGAGAAGTGTTCTCTAAACTGTCAGAAACCAAACCGTTTTAAATATTCTAGCCAGCTGCTTGAATTCCATGAAGTAAAAAATGGAAAATCCCTGTGGTTCACTGAGCACAAACCTAACATCCCAGTTTTCCTGTGACTTACTGCAAGATGCTTGCATCTCTTCTGGGAACTGAGGCATAGCCAGCCATCAAGCTGCATGGCTACACTAAAGGATTACATAACTTAAGTTTTTATGAGGAAGGAATCTGGAAAAGCACATAAATCTTCCTTTTAAGAAGAGCAGATAGCCATTTTAATAGTATTGCTGTCATAGCTAATTGGATACATTTTAAATGGTTTTCTGGTGGCAGGTCTATGGATTGCTGGCTGCCTGGCTCTATCATATGCTAAATATTTAAACGAAATAAGCCTGCTGACTGCGTCCTCATCAGCAAATCATTTCATGGAGCATCGCCACTAGAAGTTACTAGGAGGGGAGTGCTGAGGGAGGAGAAGAACTTGCCTTTCTTTACCAAAGAAAGTGATTATGGGAGGAGAGGAGTGGAAATAAATGCATTTCCATGGCAGGTGAATAACTGAAATTTTGTCAGTCTGAATTAAAAATTTAAATGCAGATAATGCTTGCACACTAGCAAAATACAAGAGCACTTGTATTGGGCCCTGTTTCTACAATAGTGTTTCTACAAGGCCTGTTACTGCCAGTGAGGTTAGCTTCCTTCAGCACCACTGTAGCTCTCAGGTACAGGTATGTCTTGCTAGATGCTTGCAAAAGACTCAAGTCTTTGAGTCTTGGTTGGCAGAATACCTGCAACTTGGTTGAGTCTTGAGTATTGGCAGAATACCTACAACTTCATTTCAGAATACTATACTTACTATCCATTCCCTGCCCACAGGATTAAAAGCACTTTACCTCCCTAAATCATTTGAAAACCAAACCAGAATCTCACAGCAATCTGAACAGGAAAAGGGAGCCAGTTAATAACAAGTCATACTGTTATCCCTGAAGGAAAAATAGCAAAGAAGCTATTATGGTTTTTTGTCTGTTACATGTCTCCATAATAGAGTTTTGAAAGCTCTGACATCAGTGTAATAATCTGGATCATTTTAGCTCTCAGTAAATACATTTCTCTGCCCTTGTTTGTTTGAAATACTGATTTGGTTCTATCAACTATTTCACCTAAAATTGCACTTCCTGACATATAACAACTGGTCATACAAACTGTTCCATAAAGATTAATCTTTGCTCTGCTGGAGGTAGACACCTCATTTTGAAAACCTCCTGAGCAATTAAAGAATGTCATTTTGTCCTCTGAAGGGCATGACCATTCTTAGCCCATTCTCCTTCTGTTGTTTTCTACTTCTCTTGTCACTGCAGCTGGCATTTAACCAAGACGCTGTTTCTGATTTGTCCCTTTCTTCCTTCCCCATGCTCCTTCTTTTCTCCTTCATTCTTTCTTCTGTCAACATCTCAGCATTGTCTGTGAGATGACTGATGATGGTACAGGGGATGCTTATTGATCCTTCAGCGAGGAGAGGTGAATGTTTTCATGCACCCTTCTGTGAAAGGGATATATGTTGGCATTTTAGTTATGTTGTAATGTTCTTCGCTGCAAATGTAGTTGTCTTCTCTAACACCTCCCTATACATGCTCCAAGCACTTATCACCCTAGTCACCAACTTCACTTTCTGCCCAATGTGATAATTGTGCATTACATGACCATAACCAAGACAATCATATCCAAAAAATGAGTTGGATTGATGTTTCTAGAGGGACGAAACTTAATTGTCTCTCTTGTCCACATATCTTCTGTGTATTCCCTCTGATTTCCTGTTATTGCAGGAAAGTGTGATCCAAAGTAGCATTGTGGGGAAACAATTGAGTTATTTTTAAAATTGCATAATCTTTCTGTTTATGACACCCTATTTTCCCGTTTCTGATGTTACTAAGAAATTCTTGGCAATGGAGGTTGTTGCAAATTTAATTATATTTTTAAAAATAATCTACAACAAATAAATCAACTATAAACTAGTTAGTGACTGAGTGGTCTTCAACCCTTCTTAGTCCTTCCTGACAACACTATTGTAGATTTGCACCATGAAGATGGAGCCGTGAAATAGCTCACCATCAACAGTAGTTGCACAAGGGTTTGTGTTTTGTGGTTTTCTTTAATAGAATATATCAGTTCTTACTGCCTTTAATTTGTTGATTTGTATGCTTTAGCCATGGTGAACCAATCCTAGTTTGCTCTGTACTACTAAGGTTAAGGAGGAATCATACCTGACTGCAGTGGTGGCAGTTCTGGAAATAACACTCAGCTCTAACAGTTCTGGGTCTCCTACACTGTCTCTTACATAGAGGCAGCTGTTCCTTATCTCCTTTTGAATAAAATGGGACACTAGATTAAAAAGCAATGTTGAAGAATATTTAGTTCCGTTTGTATAACAAACTATCTGCAATCTAATCATTCTTTTCTCTGCAGCCTCCTTGCTCTGTGTGTGGGGGGAAGTGGGGGCTCGTGTAACATGCTGTGATGTTAACCTCAAATCCTTGTCTCTCTCTGATTATGTCTAGCCAGATGTCTATATTGCATATGTTCCTGTCTTTAATTTCTGTAGGTTATGTGAGAGTTTCGAGGTCATCCTAGGAGTTCTTATCCTAGGTACACAGAGATACATGGAATGAGCTTGTGAGTCATTTGTGAGGTGTACGTGTACAGATACTGTAGCTTCCTCATACCAGCGATATACTTACTGCAGTTTGAGAATCACTGATCTATGAAATGCATTCTGATACTTTAAAGTTCAGGGTTGTGGCAGGTGAAGTTAATTTGGAGACTATTCCATGTGATTTTGAGCAACTTGCTAAATAAGAAAAGGTCAACACTGAGAACTTTGTATTTACATCCTGAATATCCATAATGCAAAGGACATAGGGGAGCAGAAGACCTCCTGCTAGGTGACTACTATGATGAGGCGAACTTGAATTAGCAGATGGAGCCGGGACAGGGGAGATTAGCCACTGAAGGAAATGTGCTTATGTTGGGAAGCAACTTTGATCTGGATGGATTTAGGTGAGATGGGTTGTGTAGCTACAAACCTCCTCTTCCATCCTGTAAAGGAAGCACCAATGGTCACGTATTTGTCAGGAGGTCTCTTAGGGGACATGATGGCTTATCTGCAGAAGCTCTGGAGAAGGCAGAATTACCTATAGACTGTCTACTAAATTTCGCTGTGTAAAAGTCACTGCCTTGCTCTAACAGCTGTTTCTGCAGATCTCATAGCTCAGGTTCCTGTTCCTTTTCTTAATCCTAAACCCTTACTCATTGTTCAGCCAGACCTCTTCTTTCAGCTTGGTTGTGATATCCATTCCCTGACAGTTTCAATTCCCAGCTCTTCATAGTTTTCTTTCTATAACCTGTTTCCTTTTGTGTGGTGTTTGGGATAAGTTCTCTCTTCATTTGACTTGGGCAGCTTCTTGGTTTTTGTGGCATGGTATTAGAGAAGTCCCCTGGAGGGGATGACCACCTTCTCAAATGTGATCTGGTTTAGTCTGGTAACATCCATTTTGTTTCACCTCCTGACACATGAAGGTTTTAAAACTGGACCACTAGTGCCAAGAAAACTAACAACCAATGAACCTAAGGAGGCTTAGTTTTTGTCAATATAAGAAGCAAAAGGGATCTGAAGAGACACATGGCTTAGATTTCCGTGGTAAGAAAATCCTTTTATACAAACTCAGTTGTGTTAAAACCATACTGGGAAAGCCAAACCTCTTAATGTAAATGTCTGAATTTTTTCAAATTATCTCCCAAGAATTTACTTGGTCCTTCACATTTGTAATATCTGTGGAAACCCCTCAGGAAAATGACATTCTCATAACGTCTTCAGTAGTGGATCATTTATTTGCTACATTAAACATTTACAACCCAATATCTAATCTCCCCAGTCCCCTGAGGTATTTCAGAATCAGAATGAGTTTTCCTGGCATTCACAGCTACCATAATGATCTGTCTTGAGGCTGTTTTGTTTGGGATTTGAGTGGGTTAATCATGGTGTTTAGATCACAAATTGAATCCTTTCATAACAATAAATGGGGAAGTTAATTGAATTTTATTTTTTCTGCATGGTGTCATATGCAGTTTATTCAGGCTTCTTCCATTTTTGTTCTCAGTACTATTAAAGAGTTCACTAGCTTTAGGTATTTAGCGTACTGGGCAGTTAATAGGTGGAAGATTTCTTCTTTGTTTATAAATTCCATAGCTAATTTCATGAGGATTTAGGAAATCATGCAGTCAATTAGAGCATCATGCTAGGTATACTGCTGCAGCTACCCCACCCTCCTCCTGCTGATACTCGATTTTGGTTAGTGTTGCTGGGAACAAAAAGCTTTCCACAGTACTGGTTCAGAATATGAGGCAACTGTCTGCCTGTCTCATCTCCTGGGGTTCTTGCACTGCTGCTCACCTCTGCAGCGTTAGAGTCTGTATCTACAGCTCCCTGGACAAAGTCCTTTCCACCATCAGAGAGCACAAAGAAAACTGGGAGCTGGATGCAAGGAAGGAGCCAGAAGAACAGGCGCCTCAGGAGAAAAATGTCTGGCGCTTGAATGCTGTGAATTGGCTCCAGATTTGAGACTATTCCTTATTTTTGGCATATTCCTATGTCCAGATATATCCATATATTCACAGGACTGGAGAGTGTGAGGGAATACAGGAAAGTTAGTCTGCAGTGCCTGTGCTCCTAATGTAAGACTTTGTCCTCCCATCTCTCACCTGACATATCTAATTATCACCGTGTTCCACAGCGCTGTTCTGTGCTGTCCACGTCCTCGTCTACACAAGGCTATTCAGAACGGGTAGAACTTTATTTATTCCTGAAAGGAAGTGCCCACAATGATATTGTATGCCATGCATGTTAACTTTATGCCTTTACCTGATTCATCGTAACTTACCTCGTTTTGCCCCTATTGCAAAGCATTGCCCTATATTTAGAATGAGCAACAATCCCATAGTTTCAATCTCATTATCAATCATGAGGATTTGTTTTTGCTTTCAAACAGCAGCTATTGTGAAGCACTTTGAAAATCTTGGCTTCGTGGTGCATTGTTTGTACTTACTGTGGTTTATGATAAAAATGAGAGCTGGGAACATTTTCCTTGCTGAAAGCCAAATGGGTCTTGCAAAAAAACCAACCAACCAAAAAAAACCACCAACCCCAGAAAACCCACAAAAAGAACCCCTTTGGCAAGCAACATTTTAGCATATACTATAGTGTTACCTAGTAATGACTTAAAAAGATATTCAAGCGAGTATGAACCATATGGAATGGAACCATTTGAGACTCGCCTCACACACCTTATCCCTTAGCTAGCCATTGACCCATAAAGCCATACCTTGTGCTTATTCAGGATTTCCAAGCAGCAAAAATCACACATCTCTTCTTAAGAACAATCACCTAGCCCAGAATTCCAGAATTATTCTGACTACCAAGAATAGATGGGACATAATTTAATTAGGCCTCTGAATCACGACTTTCTTCTTCATTCGTGTATATGAGGCCCATAAATGTCACTGCTAAACTATCTATTGCATATGAGTGTTTTCTTTTCAGACATTTTGGTGGATTTCTTTAGAATTCCAAATGTTTGTAAAGTCCTTATCCTCTGGGCTGTTAGGAATGGTGATAGTTATGGATTTGAGTTCTGTGTTAGCTGCGATGTTTCAGCAGGTCAAAGTTCTGGTCCCTGTTAAGTGCATATACTCCTCCATGAGAAAGGAATTCCACGGAAAGGAGGCAAAATCGGTGGTGGCAGTTTATGAGCCAGTAGTGTAGCTCCCTATGGTGCTCTGTAGCTATTGGAGGTGTAGTCGTGTCTGCTGCAATTCACTTTTTAGTGCTATAAATGAATTTAACAAGCACTTCTTTCACTAAGGGCTGCAGAGGGATCTGCTGAATTGGAACTAGATAGCCATTAAGTTCTCTCTACAAAGAGCTTAAGGATCTCCTGTCAGAGCAAGTTAAGCAATAATAAACATTAAACAAAGAGAATCAGCCTGTAACCCAGAGCGTTGGAGCACCTAGAGCAAATGTTGAGACCGACCCTCGTTCCACTCTCTTGGTCTCAGTCTCTGTCCTGTAATGAAAAGCTCTGGGTGGTCGCAATGAGTACTGTTCCCTTCCGGCCTTTCTGAAAATGGCATCGCTATCGCACGTCAGAGTCGCTTCAGAAGTGTCAGCTCTTCCCTTCTTCCCTGGTCTTCCTGCCTATCCTTTCTTTATGTTCTTGTTTCTCCCTCCAGCTCTTTTTCCCTGTTTCTGGTTTTCCCAGTTTCATAGCTGTTCTGCTGTTCCAATCGCTTTCCAAACGCAACGCTGGCAGCATTGGTGGTGTGTGCCCAGAGCCCTGCGCTGGTCTCTGAGGCCCGTAATGACCTTGACTGCTGTAGGTGCTTCCCTACTCTCCTCCCTGGGACCACTGAGCTTCTCTTTGTGCTTCTAGCCTCAGTGAGCCACAAAAATATAAGCCGCGTTCTCCGTTATCTTTTAGTGCTGTCTTGTTCTCTTATCAGAATGAAGAGTGTCTCAGTAGATAAATATCTCTCCTTCTTAATGAACTTCTTTTGAATGACAGGAGGGGCTGCAGCACAGTTTTTTTAATTATTTATCTCAGAACTGTCAGTGACTTTATGTTGCTGCTTGTTATCCAGTTACCAAAATTGTTTATGAGTTGATACTCTGCTCTCCTTCTGGAATACTTCGGATGAGGATTTATATCTCTTTTCTGCTGCTTCTCTACTTTTTTTGACCGTTGTTTGATTAAAGACCCTCCAGGGAGAAAAAAAGAACTTTATTCAGTGATTCAGTTTTAGAAAATCAGGTACTCAAGAGTTTTCACCTATTTTCTTTCTATTTAATGAGATCTTAGTAGGTAGCTCTCTTGGTACCTTCCTTGTGGACATGTACTTTTTTCCTTTTTTTCTTTTTGTGGGTTTGATTTGAGGTTTTTTTTGGCAGAACAGAATGATTGTGGAAACCTAAATCCCCTGTTATTATAAATGCTGCCTTCAGTCGAGGAGAATGATTTGCTGTATTTTTACAAGTTCTCTTTTTTTTCTCTGAGAAAACATGAAGATGTTTTGTCAATTTTGTGTGTAGATGGAATAATGTCTGTTTTGATTTGAAAGCAACCTTACATCAGAATAACATGGTGCAGTTTTCTTTGAAATCAGGCTGTGACTTCAGACTGTTTCTTTCATTTCTTTAAATCATTTTTATATACCTTAAGAGTTCTGAAAAGGAAATACTATTCTCTTTTTTCGATGTATAAGAGCACCTCCCTAAACTCTTTTCCTGGGATATCTGCCTTTCTTTGCAGTTAATAATTGATATTGACATTAGATGATGAAGTACACAGTTCAGCTGAATCTGGTTTAGCTTCTTTGGTACGAAAGCAGTTGAAAAACAGAATCTTTGATAATTATAAACGGGTGAAACTGATGATGAATAATATTTTCTTGCTTTTAGATGACTTACATTTTAGAGAGCAGAAAGCTTTTGTGAGGACATTATGAAAAAAACAACCATGAAGTATATTGCAAATCTTCTAAAGTTCAAGAGACTTCAATTAAAGAAGTTTTTCTTTGTTTTTGATTTTCAGCCATTCCCTTAGGAATTATAGTTGTACGAGGAGATTGTGACTTGGAGACCTGTCGTATGTACATTGACCGTCTACAAGAGGTGAGGTTTCTGTGGATTCAGGTTTCATATATTAATCTATGTTGTGCTTCTTTCAGTTCTGAGTGCAGAGGTCTAACAGTTGCAACAACTATATATTAAGAGTATTGCAGTTTGCCTATCACTGAAAACAAAACTTTAGAGTTCTGATATGAAAAATTTTCTAAATAGGAAATGAAAAGTCTTACTGACTCCTTGTAAAAGATAACAGAATTGACACGGATAGGTGTGTTTACTTCTCCTTGAATTGGAGTGGAATACCAGGACTCTCCACATACCTTGCTGAAATTACACGAATTAATGATTAGAAAGTGTGTTATGTAAGGATAAACATCATGATATTTAAGTCAATCTAATTATGCAAATGTCATTCTCTAATACTGTCATGGAGTAATCTGAGACACCAATAAAGACTACAAATACCAACTACATATTTCCAAATATACAGAAATGCAGCTAATAATGTTGCTCTTATTGTCTTGAACACCTTGCCTCACAAGAGTACATTCTACAATACAGTCTGAGAAATGGAGACTCCAAATGCCACGTTAACAGAATAATTTTAAGTGTGTATGCATTGAGTGATAAAACTAATGGATTTTAATTGATATACTGTCTCTGACTGTTTTTAATCTTTTACCGACATTTTTCAACAACATTTACAAGTGTGAGTACATTACATAGGTTTCTAAATAAAATTTACATAGGAGCTATGAATCTCATCCCTCCCACTGGACTCTTTGGAAGCCACTGACTTGCCTGCGGTTTTGAAACTCTGCACTTGCAGCCTGAATACGAGCCTTAGTATCTTGCTACAGGCTTTTACATTTTTGTATTTCAGCCAGGATTCCCTTCATCAAACGCATTTCTGAACATTCAGACCCGAGGTGTGGCTATTATTACCAGACATAAACACATATTGGAAGGTGATGCATACTTGAGATAATTGGTGATAGAAAACTATGATGAAATAATTGTGATGATGTTCTCAGCAGATTACAAATGTGATCTCAGACTGTGCTCAGGCAACTTAATATGGCCAGTATTGGGTGGTGAGTAGTTCTACAGCTCTGGAGGAAGCATAGCTAGAAGTCCTGGTTGGATTACCCGTAGTAGTTGTGGAGGAACTGCATTTCTCCAAACTTTTGCAGGGTTTGTGCTACCTTTTTTTTGTGAGCTTGCTTTAGCGCAGACCCATTTGCTGGGAATGGAGGTGCCAGGGCTTTCTGCACTCTGCCAACTTGCATGCCAACTGGGGAGCTATGGTCTGTAGGCTAGGCATTTTGGAAGGCTATGTCATGAGCTAAAACTATTTGACAAAATCTCTGTTAAAACAAATTAGATTCCTGAACCCTGTAAATACCAGGGTCATTCTGATATGACCTCTCTGACATCAGACTGTCTTAAACCAGGGAGAACTGCCAGTGGTTTTCTTTAGTGCATTAATTATTTAGAAATATTTGCAGAAAGGATTTCTGGATTTTAGCATCTTTTCTTTTATTTTATTGCTGACATTCTAAATTCAGATATTTTAATGAAACAAATAGGGCTCTGATATGGTAAAGATCCATTAACATAATTTCTATATTTTAAAAACCTTTTTTTTGACCAAATGCAAGCAAATCCAAAGTTTAAGTGACCTTTCCATGACTATTCTGTGACGTTTGTTGAATATACTTAGAACTGGTGACAAATATTTGCAAAACTATTTGTGTTTACCCAGCCACTTCAGATAGTAGAACTGCAAACACCTCTTGTTGCTTTAATTTTTTTCATCATCGGCATGTCTTTCATCCTCCTACTAGGACCTACAGTCGGTAACTTCTACTACACAGAGAGTTCATTACCAGGTAAGATAAGCTTTCCTTTTAGTATCAGAACAAAAAGAGGCTTAACAATGTGCACTGCACTCTTTATGTTTGAACTTAGGTTTTCTTTTTGTTAGAGACCTCTATGTTAGATGAATTTTTTATTATCATCTACCCTCAAATGTTGGAGGTTTTCTGCTTTCTCTGGGACAATACTTTCCCTTGCAAACCTTATGAAGTTATCTTTAACATTAGCACAGCATGATGGTGCAAGTGGTATTGCAATAGCAACGCCTTGCATATTGAAGTGAGTAAGAGAATGTGTCCTGTAGGACAAATGACAAAAGTAAAATTGTTTCTCTGTCTGAGAAACTGAACAATAACATCTTATATTGTGTAGCTGTAGTGCTAAATTCTATACTGAGAAAAAAGTCGTGCTAGCAGGGCTAACCTCTTAATTCTGTGCACTACAGTCACCTACCTCTAGTTTAACATAATCTTCAGAGTAGTTTTTTAATCCATCCAGAGCACAAAAGTGTCTTTTATAGGTGATAAACAGGTTCTACTTTTAGATGGCTAGTTTTTAAAATCAGTGTCTCTGTGCATTTTACAACTTTATTGTACAAACTATTCAATACGGAACTTGCCTTTACAGTTGGAAGTATCGTGCAAGAATGCATACTTCTCTCAGTAAAATACTGTGCTGCACAGTGCTTAAATTGGGAGTAAACTAATTCAGACTAACTCTACTGACTCCTGAGCTGATCTGACATTAGCACAGAGACTTGATGCAAACAACAGCCAATTGGCACAGTGACTAGGATCACAAGTTTGCACAGTGTTGATTGATAGCCTTTTCCTAGGTTTAACGATGCAAGTCTTGTTGGGATCAGCAAGAATGAGTTCACTGAGAAAGCATACAGAGATCCAGCTGATGGGAACCCGTTGCAGTGAAATTGCAGATAATTTCTTGGGGCTTAATGATTACTTGGGTGATACAGAATTCCAGTTTGGCCAGAATGCTGCTGAATGTAAATGTGCTGAATGCAGGAAAATGCTACGAGAAAATGCAATTTGGCGCATTTTCCTGGAGTTGACTTCTTCTGATCAGTTCATGGTTTGTTTCTGCATTTCCCTGTTCAATTTTAGTCTCATATTTTTGACATTTGTATCAATCATTGCCCTGGAACTGAGTTTTAGCACAGTGCTAATGTCTAGCGAATTGGCTAATAAAACAGCATATATTATTCTGTTCCACTCATTATAAACTAACCTAAGTGGCTGCTGACTGCTCCATGTGTAGGAAACTGCCTGAGGTAGAATGAAGAACTAAATCTGTGTGTATGGGGAAGGCCGAAAGAGAGTATGAAATGCTGGAAATCAGCCCCATGTTTGGCTCTAACCTCTATAGTTATAGCAGTATATAAATTAATTGCCTAGCCATCTCCTCTAGTGCACATCAGCGTGAAACCTCTGACATACTATCAATTTTTTATGATGCTACATTTTGAATGCACGCCCCTTTGTGTTTTGTCTTCAGTACTTGTTTATCCTGGATTCTTCAAACATTGGTTTATTCTCAGTGGGTCATTTCTACAAACTGTCTTGTTAGGTTAATTTGGGGTTTGTTCCACGTTTGTCAGTATCACTCTACATATTACAAAAGTGGAAAAACAAGGGATAAAAGGGCATGAGTAAGGTACTTGAGTTGATGGAACTGTCTTCTTAACTCGCTAATAGAGTGTCATGGGTACTTTTACATTTCATAAATGCAGTTCTCTTGCGTGATTCCTCTGCAGCTCAAAACATGAGGAGTCAGCAGAAACAACATCAGCAAGCCCAGGTGCAAATAAAAAAAACGAAGCTAGAGTTGTTTTTCATTCTGTTTTGTTTCTCTAATAAGTTTAATGCATGTAAAATATCATTCTCATGAGCCTGAGACTTCCCAAGCTAGCTCTGCAGTTGAACTGTAATGACGTCTTGGAAAGAGCACATCACAATATGCTATTTGTGACTTGTATTTATGTTTACTAGCATTATCTCTATCTTCATTTTCCCAGCATTATGCGCTCAGCTAGGTCTATGAATTTTTACTCCCATCTCCTCTTTGTATCACGTACCTTTTTAGTATGCGCTGTTATCTTTGGATGTTTTCTTCCTTTTGTCCTTTGTATCCCAGTCCTCACCTTTCCGCAAATAGTGGGCTAAATATTAAGATGCACAAAGCTTTGTGCATGTAGATATATAGACATTAGCAAACCTAGTGGATTTCAGAAAACCCTTGGCTCTCCCACATACACCTCAGTGGCAATACAAGCAAACCTAAGCATCCGGTAACTCCATAAGCCCATCTTAGAAGAAGATGTAGGTGTATTTTAAATCTGATGCTTGAACCACTGAGATGTGTCATTTGATCTCCATGTGCAGCAATAGTTCACTTTATGGAATGTTATACTGTCGTTGTCTTCATCTCTTCTGTAATGCAGGGAGGTTGGAGATAAAAACTTGTACCTAAGAGCAATGTTTATGGGACCAAGCAAAATCCTGGAGTCTAAATATGGAAGAGAATTCAGGCTGTTTTCTTTTTGTCAGGGTGGCTATAGATGCAGGTGTCATGCATCAGAAGACATGTATGTATATACATTTTTTTAGTCAAGCAAAGTCTGTAAGTTGCTGCAGTAACATTTCAGACAAGAGCTGTTGCCAGAACTATAGCCAAACTCTGGGACACTGAGGAGACTATAGATGAGTTGTCTGGAGCTGTCTTTGCTTTTTCTTCCTGGATAACCAGAAAGGAAAGGCAATAGTAGATGGTTCCAGTCAATCCCAGAGGCAGAAGCTAATAAGATGAATCTTGTAAAAGTTGTCATGATATCAAATGTAATTAATAACATTTTGTAGCAGCATCATACCATATGCATTCACCTGGCTGAAAAATGAGTATCCATCAAAATGCAAAAGACTAATCATCATCAGAGCTGTTTGAAAACAACATACAGTGCAGGCAGGCACCTTGCTGACCAGAATGCTGGGGAAGACAAGAACTTATGCATATCCATACAACATCAGCATGACCTCATTTTTTTCTCAGGTGGCTGAAAAAGTGTCAGGTACCTTTATGTAAATCAAAGAGCAATGTCTGCCTCTGAACTTATGAGGGCATTATTTGCTTTGTAATCAGTTCGGAAATTGTTTTACCCAGTCAGACTGAAATGACAACAGCATTCTGTGAGATTTTTCCTAGGTTAATCAAAGCAAACTGCTTCTTCCCCATGGTCTTACTGACACACGTCTGGGCAGTCTGGAGAGTTGAACTGATGAAACTCCCATTTTCCTGTTGATATAGTAATTATTTTTTTCTTAACTTTTTCTTACACATGGCTACTCAAATAGGAAGTATTTTAGAAATATGTCAGATTCACAAAACTAAGATAAATTGCTCAGAAGTATCTATTGCTTCTAGGTTTTCTTAATGTTATAAACACTAGAGGGGGAAAAACAGAGGAAAATATATAGGAAACGGAACTTTTGAGAATCTGTATGAATGTTCCAGATGTGTTGAACGTTTGATACACTGCAAACTTTGATTTTAACTCTATGTTGGTGTTTCTGCACTTTTCCTCTTCTTGTATACAAAGCAGCCTCACTTTCCTCCTTCAAACCATGCACATGGTGCCAGCTGCCTGAGGGAATGGTGGATTTTGTGTCACTTGGAGTCTCTCAGACTGGGTGCTGTCTAAAAGATCTGCTGTAGCTCAGGCTGGAGCGGTGGATTTCTGTGTTATGCTAGGGGTTAAGCATTCGTAGCACTGTTGTCCCTTCTGACTGAAAACCCATAATTGTTTGAAATTTCTTTTTGGAACTTGCTCTTTCAGCCAGCCTTTATTTTCTGGTGGTGGACCTTCAAAAAACTACTTGTCTGATATAGCTCCCAATACAATACTGTCCGATACAGTTCCCAATACAAAAACCGTTTGCCTTGCATCCTGCTGTCAGGAAAAGTGCTGGGCTTCTGTGTGATATTTTGAGAAGTTCCAACAAGATACCATTGTACCCTAGTCTGTTTTCGTCAATCTATGCCCATATTACGAGTATATGTAGATATACATTATGCACTTTCTATGCTTTCTGTGCACAGCAATACTTTTCTTAAAGGTGCCTTTTCTCCCCTTCACTTCTGCTTTTTGTTTTCTTGCCTTGTGATTTGGTGTATCAGTCTGTAGTCTCTTGTCTGAGGGAGGAATAAAGTTTGATCTTGAGCCAATATGTACCTGAATTTACATTGTTTGCAGATGTAAATAAGGATAGAATCTTGCTTAATTCAAATTTTGAGGGTGTGCCCGAGATCCATGCTGTTGTGTTTTGTCCTGTGTAAATCTATTTGTATTTAAATGTTGTGTCCCAGTGGCTTTAGGAAGTTGACTGGCCATCCACTGGCAGCATGAAGCAGAACCATGACCACTCTGTGCTTTCTGAGATCCATTTTGCCTCCTCAGCTCAGTTAGAGCTGAAAAAGTACAAGGGGCAGCCTGTTTGACCCCCTTGGTGAGTACAGGTCAGGAAGAAGGTCTTCGTTCCTTCCCAGTCATTTGGTTTGGTTCCTGAAGTAACATCTGTAGGCTCTCAAGGAGCAGGCCTTTATAGCTAGAATGGGAACATGTTGGTGTAAGATGTCTGTAAGATTGGCTGATGGTGATCCCCAGGTCTGCAGTCTTTGTATTCTGGGCACAGAGGATAACACTTTTTTTTTACCCTTACGTGCATTTGGGACACACCAGAGACAAAGTGGGTGATCGCATTGAGTGGCAGATTGGTAGAGGGGGGGAAGAGGGTAAAAATACTGAGCTAGAATAAAGGAAGGTGACAGACACACAAGAAACAAACATAAAAATCAGAGTTCATGGCTGTTATTTGATACTGATCTGTTTCTTTAATCCCTTTCACCTCTCTGTATTCCTGTGTCTCCTCAAATAAAGGGGGCTGTAAACAGCTGAAAGAGCTGGTTTTGATACAAAGCTTTTTGGTATTGCTGAGCTGAAGAGATGATAGCCGAGGATATGACTGAAGCTAACCATGTCAGTTTATTCTTTTCTATGTTGCAGTTAAATTCTGTTGTCAGTGAGGAGCAAATCCAGTAGGTTTTACACATTGTGCAATGTCAGTAGAGCAAAATGAAAAAAGCAAAGCCTAGAAAATAGTCCTTTTTAGAGAAAAAGTTTGTTATTTTTTTATGTCATTTCCTTGCCCTATCCAGGACCAAGAAAGCTCTTTCCCTAGAGTACTTTCTGTTCAGAGGCTCTCTCCTAGATGGTGCTTCCTAGATGGTAAGTGCATCTTCCTTCTCTCATGCCTAGCATGCTGCTCGCTTCTGGTGTGCGTGTGAAGGATAGCGTGTCCAAGAGTGTAACCATGGAGGGGTAACTGTTCCTTCTTCTTACACTGAGCAGGTAAAAATGGGAGCTGGGTGCCTCCCTTTCCCCTCTGAAAAATGGAACAGGCTCTTCATCTAATAATCAAAATGTCTGCTGTAGCTTTGTCACCCCAAGGAGGTGTTTAGGTAGTTTGCATGACAGAAATGTACCTCCATTCCCTGCACTTCAGTGAAGACTGCACTTCATGTAACTCTCTGGAGAGCAGCACTGTTATTTAACCCAGACTTTGTCAAAGCAAACGGCTTATCTGGGCTTTACAGTCAGGCTCCAGAGCACTGGAATTAGCAGCTCAAATGGATGGTATCTACTTTTGCAAAAACTTTAGCATGTGGGGACTGAAATTTTTATTATTCTAAACAAAACCAATTTCTCCGTGACAATTTCTAATCACTCTTCCTTGTCTCTCATGAAATTGATAAAAAACATATTGAGAATCTGCTTGGGTTTTGGAGAAAGCTGGGTGGGTAGATGCATTCAGTTTTTGTTTTGAGGGATTTGATATTCCCTTGCACTGCCAAAAACTACAATGCTACATCACTGTGCTCTTGTGTCAAAACTCCAGAATGAGCAAATCTGATTTCACTGGCCAAACTAAATTCAAAGCGGAAACAAAAACCCCTCATCTGATGAAGCACATTCATTGGTGTTGAAATACTTCTGGGTTTAGTGATATAAAATATTTGGCAGTCACATGATTCATATTAAGTGATTTATTTAGTGAATTTCCCCTGTTTTCATGTGCTTTTCATGAGTAGCATAGATTTTACTTGAGCGTATTGGTAATTCAGGGTGAATATCTTTGGCTATGCATTTGATTTACAAAGAGCTCCCAAGTATGTTATTGTTCTTTAGAGTCAAAATTTGAATTAATCCTATTAGGCCCATCAGTTTCATGATATGCTTGCTATGATCTCATCAGAACAATGCAGCTTTTTCTGCCACATTTTTAATGTATTCAGTTCTTCTTATAAGCCTGAAATCCATTTTATATGTTTTAAAAATCTTTATTTCAAGTTAATAATTTCAGTGAATATTGTTTTGTTAAGCCTCACCTTTATATTCACCATTTAATGGGATAGGAATATGGACATAATGAATGAATGGGATTATTATTCTTGTGAAACAGCTGTGACTTCACAGAGGTTGTTGTACGTGGTCATGATTTTAGCTCAGCCCATATTGTTTGTGCAGTTCTGCTCAGACCGTTTTCTTCACTGTGGCTCTGTTGTTTCTCTGTCTTGTAGCAACTTCTGCTGATCGTTTTTACCGCATTGACAGATCTCAGGTAAATCTTTATTTGGTTACTGTTTCTGTAGATTTTTTTTAAAGCTGTGTCAAACACAGCTTAAAATGAATCATCTGCCATTCCTCCTGTGTATTCTAAAATACTACTGATGTCTCATGAAAAGTAGAGAAAAAATTCTGGGACATTTTTGAGTTGATGTAATTCACATCATTTCACTGAAATTTTATATCGACTGGCCATCTGACCTGCTGTTTACTACTGATCTGACATATATATCAGAATTTTCTACATTTGTCATCCTTATCAAGTCTTACTAAGGGCACCTGTGTGACACTAGAGTATTTATCTTTTCACTGATGGTTTTAGTCACCAGAGGTCCCAATCCTGTGTGTGTGAGATGGAATAGCTATGGAAATTCAGATGATGTTACTAGTTGAGAATTACGAACAGAGCTGTATCAAATACTCCCAAAGAACCTCAAAACAGCAAGTAGCTCCACAGGATTCAAATCTGTGGTATAGATTTGACAATCTGAACACATTTTCTAAAAGACACTTGGAAAATTTTACAGAGCTTTTAATGTTTCCGAGTTGTAGCCAGAACAGACCAATTCGTGGCTCAGCATTAAATGCCAACTGTTGATTTCACACAGTGGTCATTTGTATCTGGTCTCCCTGAGAACTGTGTAAGCTGTTTTGGGATCACATGAACATATGTTTGTTTCCTAGCAAAAGCAGCTGGTGGTTTAGTTCCAGCAGAAGGAGTTGTGGCTTTAGTTCAGAGGTCTCAGGTTCAGTGTCTGCATGTAGCCACCATGGAGCTTCTTTGCACACAGTCGTATAAATGCTTAGTTGTACTTTAACATTTGGAAAGCAAGGGTGAAGATGCTGCTACAGGCTAAACTGGACAATGTGGCTCCATTTGCCTTATTCTGCATTTCTTTGATACTTGACTCTATACAAATGGTCATCTTTCCCTCCTACTACTCTGCCTTGTGTTTCTGTGGGGAGAAGATCAATACTTTGTGATGGTCCCAGGCCACACATTGTGGGCAGTTTCCTGCCCATTTGCTTATGTAGACAGGCCTGCTTATACTTGGTGATTTTTGCAGGACAGTGAGCCTTCTGTGTCAATAACAAAAAAGAGAGACTGAGAAAGAGAGCTCTGGTAACGGAGATGCAAAACCAGGATATACAAGCAATAGAGGTCTGGGAGAGAACCCTCAAACAATGGAAATTCTGTCAGCTGTCATTGGAGGGCAGACTTTGGGTGTTGGTCCTCATTTTGAAAGGCAAACCTCAGCTTTTTGGGTAGATCTTCAGTTTTAAGCTGAATGACATAGTCAGTAGCAGCCTTTTGAGCATGTGGAGCTTGCTGGTTGGGAATCTTGTTCAGCTAGAAATCGATTAAGTATTTATTGGTGACTTCAGTGACGTTGGTTTTAGTGTATGTGTGTCTGCGTGCACTTTATAAATACACAGACAGAGTATCGTGAAGAGACCCTGGTGTGCACCCAGCTTTCCTGTAGCTACCTGGGTGCTCTGAAAGACCAGTGATGCTGCAGGTTCATTATTTGTTCCTTGTATCACTCCAACAGGAACATTTGCACTTTGTGACGGAAATTTCGCAGGACGAGATTTTTATTCTGGACCCAGAGCTGGTAATGTCACAGCAGGTGGGGACACCACCGGGAATGCCTGATCTGGTAGTGGAGCAGGCCTCTGGGTGAGTGGTGCTGGGATGTGGCCTTCAACAGCTTAGAGTTGAGCATCTCTTTTCTGGTCCCCTTTTTTGAAGGGCTGAGAGATATGGGAGGGCAGATCTTAGATGGGGAGCTGAGGACAGGATCAGATGCAGCCATAGTAATGACAGAAGGACAGTGGAATCATATCTACTCCATTAGACATCCTCCAGCACACAGCAGGATTAATGGACTTTAAACCTTTCAACCTCCTCACACCCTCTGAGTGTATCTGCCCCACCATAAATCTGTATCGATCGAGTTACAAACCCCTTGTCTACATGGTCAGGGCTCTGATACCAGTGTATAAGGCTCTGAAGTCTTTTGTGCCTAAGAGTCATGATGAAGTGTCTCTGTTTCTTCCCAGCCCCTGGGCAGACCAGAAATGCTCCTATTTATCTTTAGGAACAGTCTCGTACTCATAGTGAATTAAGCTATTTTAGCTTGCTACAGGCTGAAAAATGCTGGGAACCTGTAAGCATAAGAGACCTTCAAAGTGGTTCACACAGGTAATTTCTGAGGGGTGAATACCTTTCTCTTCCTCCTTCCCTTCCTAGAATATCAGATCGGTGGAACCCAGCGGTTCGAAAGAGGATGCTGAGCGACAGTGGCCTTGGCAAGATTTCCCCACACTACGAGGTACCTGACAAACAAAAGGACGCCAGCCAGACACATATGCTGCAGTAAGAGCCCTCTGCATTTCTCTGCTTGATGATGCACTGTCGCCATCACCACAGACAACTTCTAACAGCTCCTTTAAGCTGAATGAAATGTGCTGACGTGCTGAAATTACAGAAGTCCTTTTGCTTTTTCTCTTTTGCTCCTCTGTTCTGTTTCTCCCTTTTTTCCCATTATTATATGTTCTTGTCTTTGTTTTTTTCTTTCTCTGTGGCACTCTGCACTCTTAATAAACCTAGATCCAAGTTTCCAAAAGTAAATACGTTATTTTGGATGCCTGAAGTTCCAGCTAAGGGAACCTTCATGGCAACTGGTTATGAGAAAGATCGAAGCACTCACGAAGCTCTGATGCAATTTGACAAAACAGAAACCTCTACAGTTGCTGCTTACTTCTGAAGATGCAGGCAATAGTTTTTGTATAATCTTGGACCAGAGATACTGTTGTTGGTGTAGGATAACTAAACAGTGGTTTTTGTTGCTGGTGACTTGCTCATGTAAGAGATGTCTACCACTGCAATCCTATTTGCTGCGTTCAGATTTGTGCAAGAGCATCTCTTATTCGTCTTGCCTATTTTAGAAGTAGTTCTCAGCTTTTTGGTCTTTTCACTTTACATTTTCAAAACCAGCAGTAGGTCCATAATTGCCGCCAAAATCGACACCTGTCTGAACTCCGTTGCTGGCTTTGAAAAATCCCAGTGTTTTGGGGTTATTTTTCCCCCCTAAGTACATAATGTATGGTTGTGCACATCACTTCTCTTTTTGATTTCTAGTTCTACTGTATATGGATCCCTATGGATGAGGTTTAAAACTTAGTATGGAAAAATTAGAAGTAGTGAACACTTGGTCCTTGTTTCACTTTATCTTTCTGTCTCTGATGTGTGCAGAACAGGGCTGTAAGGTGTATGCTGAGCTCCAGGGCAGATGCAGCATTGACGGGAGCCTGCGTAGCTATGTGGCTACAAACTGGAAACTTTCCAGCAAAATGGAAACTGCTGGAAAAAGAAGGAGGTGTCATGGGAAGAAAGGGCGATCCGGGTAGTACTGCCAGAAAACACCTGGTTTTCTTCCATTACTCTGGGGGATTCTGGATCAATTCTTGGTTTTTCGCTCTTTGCAACGCAAAAGGTGGTGAATTCAGGTTCAGTTTTCCACAGACTGGAATGGCAGGGCCTGAAATTTGGAGCTGGCAAAGCTGGGAGAAAAATTATGCTTAGCTACTTTTAGGCAGTGTGGAGAGATGGTGACAACATGTGGACTAACTTCTAGTTGATAAGAGAAATGATTTTGTTTACATCAACATGACTGGAAATGTTTGCTTAGCTGGAACAATTATGCTTATCTGATAGATTTATTAATTACAAGCAAAGTCAGCAGCATTGCCCAGATTAAAGTGTGTCTGTCACTGCCTACTATAAGAAATTTTTTTCTTTATAGCTTCTTTAAACTTTAATTGTTTTGGCTAACATTTTTCATGGTAAGACTCAGTCTTTGATTGATTCTTTCTCTTTTTCTTTTAGTTAAAAATTTAGCAAAGAAGTCAGTTCTTTCTGAAGACAAGATCTGTGGGAAATGTGCTATTTTAAATTACCTTCTTTAAAGTTAATAAATCCAGCAGTGGTTTCCAGAGATGTTTTAAAGCTGTTGGTGGAATGAACTTCACTGGAATGAAGTTTTGGAGGCTTGACATTTAATAAAATGTCACCAGTGATGCGTTTTGCTGTCTTGAGAAAAGCACCCCTAAGCTTGCCCTGGTCGTGAGGCTGTTCACACATGTTGGTGATGCCTCAGAATCAAGAGCTTTGCTTTTGAAAGTTTCTGTCTGCATGTGTTCACGGAGGAGTTATACCCTTATGTGCTTAATCTTAGTTGCAGGCCTGCCCACCAGCTGATCTCCAGTGGAAAGGAGAAAAGGGAAGCAGCAGTCATGGTTAAATGGAGATGGGTCAGGAATAGTGTGTGGAGGAAGAGGGAAAAGAGGTTACAAGAGTGAAAGGAGTAGAAGCAAAAAGAGAGTGTGTGCAGGAGCTTGAGCAGCAGGGTTAGGGGATGGGAGCTGGCAATTAGGAGCACAGGGGACACACAGAATGGGAATAATGGAAAGGAGGAGGACATGGGGTGCAGATAGGTAAGAGGGGAGAGAGACAGGTTAAGGGTCTTGCTCAGGTCTCTTTTCTCTCCAGAGTCTGGAGTTCTGGGCTGATGCAGATTATTCATGATAATGATGGGCAAGCTCCGAAGTATGTTTAGACACTGACTCGTTTGCTGCCAAGCTGGGAGGTGTATAGTAAATGAGGCGAGGGATATCTGTGGAGAAATCAAGATATTATTAGTTAAGGCTGTTGAATGCTGTTCTGGAGGACTGGCTTCTCCCCTCAATTTCCCTCACAGAATTTCTGAATGATGCAGATTTAGGACAAACTTTTCTCAAATGGCCAGTAACAACAGGCTTCTCATTCTACGTGTGTCCACTGTGAAGTTGACTGAGTTTCTGAGAGGCTGTTACAAGGAGGCTTTGAAAGAGAGTGAAGGGCTGGAAACTGAGAAATAGGCTGTGTGCCTCAGGTTGTATTACTAAAATTAATGGAAACTTTGTGCCTTCCTTCCTTCTGACTCTCATTTTCCCAGCTGCAGAATGCAGATAATATTGTGACCTCACCATAGAGGAGCACAGTGAGGGTAAATTTCATGGTCACGAGAAACTTGGATACTATAGGGAGACTCTGTGTGAGATGCTTAGAGGGAAATTAATCATTTTACATCCTGTGCACAGTTTTGGTAGTGTGAAATAAATAAATCTTCATGCTGCGCACTGCATGTACAAAATACAAAAGGATATCAAGCAGGACTCTACTTAAACGCTGAGGCAAGAGTCTAATAGAAGAAAGTAGTGGGTGGCAATGTGATTAAAGGTTGTCAAAATGCTTGAGTGCAACAGGACTGGAGCATGATGCTCAGATGACATGAGCTCTGGTATTTCCAAGCTTCTGGATGTTTGACTTCGCAAGTGACAGGGGACTCGCTGTGAAAGAAAGTGTCATCAGTTGACTCAGTGGGGCTTGAGGCTGTTTTCTCAGTGGTCATTTTTCTCCCAAATGGGGATTGGGAGTGACCCTCCTCAGATGTTAGGAGCAGATTAAACCACAGCTGATCATAGCATAGCTGCAGGCTGCTTAGAGAGCCTCCGACATCAGTATATATACATGCATGTGTATGTATGTGTGTGCATGTATATACATATATATATAGGAGAAGATCAAGTTCAAGACCATCTAAGGAACCTGAAGGTGCACAAGTTCATGGGACCTGATGAGATTCATCTGTGGGTCCTGAGGGAAGCACTGAAACAGGTTGCCCAGAGAAGCTGTAGATATCCCATCCCTGGAGGTGTTGAAGGCCAGGTTGGATAAGGCTTTGAGCAACCTGGTCTAGTGGAACATGTCGTTACCCATGGCAAGGATTTTGGAACTAGATGATCTTTAAGGTCCCTTCCAACCCCAAAACCATTCTGTGATTCTATATGTATAACCTCTTTAAGATGAACTCATTATTTCTGACAAGTGAGGAGTGTAGCTAAAATGACAAAGTATGCAAATAGCAACATCCCTTAAATTATTTCCATCAATGGAAGTAGAGAATTATGTGATCTAAACATAATGATGATGTTTGGTGTTGCTTTTGAGCATGTAATGGTTTTGAGGCAGGGGTATTTCTGAAAGAAAATTATTTATGCTTTTTAATTAAGTGAGCTTCATGTTAGTTAATTTTCAGGTGGCTTTTGATTAATGGTATTTCATGTTTTGCTCACTTTCTGACAGCTCTTTGATGTGTGACTGATGTGTGGAGTGGGCAGGATGTGAAACAGCATCTTGATGCAGTAACCAGGAGGTGGGTCAGATCATAGCTTAATAGGAACACCAAATTAGTGTGGGGTGCATACAAAAAAACAACAGGAAGACGATTACTTGGACTACTGGTGTTTGATCTTGAAAAAAGCAAGTATTCTGGGCTGACTCCACTGAAACATACAATTGAACTCTTCCTTTGAACATGTCTGGCTTCATCATGCTGGTTTATCCTATTATCAAATGGTGCAGTGAGATGGGGATGATCATCCACTCATAGCCCGCTGTAAGCATTTGTTGTTGGCCATGTATTTCTCTTCCTAATTGTGTGTTTGTCACCCTGTTATGTGATGAGGGCTGGAAAATTAAATAAAATAAAAATCACAATAGCATACAAAACTGAAAAGGTGATTATACCTTGGTAGACATTTAATCTACATCTTTTAATTGAAGTCATTAATTTTCCCATTGTTTGGGGCAGTAACAACCACTCATCTAGCATCTGTCCAGCTGTGATGGTAATGTGTTTCCAAAGCTGCTAGCTGCGTTGTCTGAATTGAGTGCATGGCTCATGAAGGGTGGGCGAAGGTTGGCCAGAATGCCATCTGGTCCTGTCAGGGAGAGGAAAAAAAACGCCTGTAGGGGCTGGAAAGCGGCTGCAGCCTTTACACTAAATAGACATTAATTAGCTAGCAATATCACCCAGGCACTGCTTTATGAAGCAATAATAACCTAGTTCCTGAGAGGGAAGAAGAAAAAGGCTAAATGCCAAGTGTTTTAACTTAGCCACAAGAATCAGATCATTGCCCAGGAAATCAGTGTTACAGTACAGATGTTGAAAGGTGGTTTAGGGTGGTTGGGTTTTTTTTTAAGAGAAACCCTTGTGTGGTACAAGGTGAGAAAAGCATCAGGGATGCAAGTTTGCCTGTAGAAAGGAGAAGGAATGATCATCTAGTGAAAGTTAAGAAAATATAAAGAGGTCACTCTTAGGATTTGAACATGCCAGACAGGAGCTGCCTAATGATAGTGAACTTTTAAAATTTTGAAGCTTGGTGAAGGCTTGAAAAATTCAAGTGTTTCCTTCAAACTCTTGCATTGGAAAACTCAGCATCAGCTGTTAAATAGGCAGAGTAGTCTGCCCTGGTGTTTTTTTGTAGCAAAAT